ATAGTCATTAGAGAGGTATGGACTTTGGTTGTACAACTAGTAAGCTTAGGGACCTTATAACCTGCACTTTAATGGTTTACTGACCTAGATGGTACTGCAAGGCAAGTTTAAGGACCGCCCGTGAACTACTAGGGGCACATGTACATTGTAATCATAAACAGATCAGGTGTCAGCATGGCGGTCATTCAATCATATATGCCTATTACAAGTATACGGCAACAAAGTTGGACAACTACCTTTTCTTCTTTTGGTTCCGGAAGAGCAATCTGCTCCAAACTCTGTTGCAATTCCAGGCGGTACTGTGCATTCTTAAACATGTATCCAGTCATTAGGACACTGTACATAAGCTGAGCCAGATTTTCAGCAACCTGTGTTGATAAAAGACGATCAAACATACAATATAGCAACAATCAAAAGACGCAATGTCATGTAAAATGTAAATTTGCCATTGGGAAGACAGCCATAGGAATTGGAGGTTCTCAATACCGTTGAGACAGTTACAGCGAAAAATTGTGGTGGTAAAGTGCCCATCATATTAGTCACCGTTTGGCGCATGGCCTCGACAACCTTTTTGAGAAAAAAAAATATGGAGAGTCGTTAGCGTTATTTTAAAAGTCACGGCTGATATACACACCTAATAAAAATATGATACACAAAACCGGGGGAGAGAGGATAATTAAAAATGAAGATATGAAAACGCACCTGTGCTGGAGCTCTTTTTATGAAGAGCTCCATAAACTCTGGCTGGACATTTTTTACGTATTCCAGGAGAATATCCCTCCTGTTCTTGGGCTGTTAGGGAAGGAAACAGCCCATAAGCATGACTGCTTATTGTTGGCACCACATAAACAGGTGAGGAATTTGCAATAGATAAAAATTTCACCCATCTGCTCCTCATCTAGTGGAATGTGAAATGTGTAGACATACGTGCTGGAAGTATATCTAAAAATATTGGTGAGATTAGAAGACTCCGGTCCCATCAAACTGAAGCACTGTATACTGTTTAAAAATACTGGTAGCGCTGTATCGATAGAGTAAAAAGCTAACGGGCACACCCATTGCCGAAGGCTCGCACGTGAGTGGCGTCTGGGAAGGGATAAACCGAGAAGGGATAAACCGAGCCAAGCATTTACCCCGCAAAAGCTTCGAACCCATGACCTGGAGAGGAGGAAGTGACAGGTGAGGCGACCATACGAACCAGTCCGTTGTTGGTTGGGTTTGCCGTGGCGTCGCCTCCAGAGCCAGAGCCAGGGGAGGCGGCACCGTTGGGCTGCTCGGCGGCGCACACGAGGCGGATGCGGTGTCGCGGCCGCAGGGGGAAGGAAGCGCGCGAGGAAGAGGCGAAGCAGCGGGATGGCGGAGGCAGAAGCCTCCTACAAGTAGTAGTAGAGGAGGGAAGCAGGAGGAGCGACGGGGACATGGCGGCGGCGGCGGAGAGGGAGTGAATCAGATTGGGGAGAAGAGAAGGCCCGAAGACGAAAACCCAACACCAACGGAGGAGGGGGGAGCGGATACGGCAGGCAGCAGAACAGCAGCTTCGCCTATGAAGCCTTTCAACCGCACATCCATGGATGGATGGCCAATTCATTTCTTAATTTTTTTCTTGTTCTATTCTACTCTGACTGCTGTATGTCCGTTATATCTCGTTAGAAACCAGGAGCATACCTGGTGCGTTGCCGCCAAAATGGCGGATGATTTGAAATATACAAAGAGATAAATAATTATAAATTAATGTTAGTAGATGCTATGGCACATTAGTATGGACAACTAAAAACATAAAGTTTCCTAAATGTGCTCGTTGATGGATGGACAGCCAATTCGTTTCATAAAATGTTGCGTGATTTTTTATTTTTTTTTTAAAACACACATACATGAAAGATTAGATCGACATATCGATTTATGTTTTGTTAATAGATGGATGGCAAGACAGCAAAATAGTTGCCTCTTGTCGCTGTTTTCAGCGGTGCCTCCACTTTTGTTTCTTAAATGTTGCATGTTTTTTCTTTTAAATCAGATTGATGCCTCATTCCATGTAGTGGCGTAGCATGAAGCAAAACGTAGCGGGGGCATTTTGCATGAAACTATAGACTAGCGACCCATCTCAAATTTTATCGAAAATAATAACATATAGCTTGATTGCCATTGGTAACAAATAACTTAGAAGCAAAAACAGAATGAAGAAGAGGGTCTGGGAGCATGGCTGCACGGGGCCGTGGGATGCCGAAGAGCATGGAGTCTTTGGCCGCGATGGTCTGAGAGCGTGCGGCTCCAGAGGCCGGAGAGAACCGACAGTAGTATTGGGGTCACAGGCCCGGTGTAGTGACAACAATAAATGAATCAGCCGCGTGAGGCAAGCTACCTCGCCGGATGTGCCTTCTCACTAACTGTACTACTCAGACCTGAGTATTGAAGTACTAGCAGCTCTTTGTACGTCGGTACCAGGTCACCTCTTTGTAAAACTGTCCATGGCAAGGGGGTGTAGCCCTCTATGCCCCAACGAGGCTCCGCTAGTGCATCATGGATGGACCGTCAAGATGGCTGCCTCTTCTTGATATTTCCAAGAATTGCCCACATTTTCGTTTCTTGTATGCATTTCCCAAATATGGTGTGATTTCTCAAAAACATAATACATCACATACGCTCACATATGCAATGTTGTTCATATTTTGGATAGATCATTCATCCTACTTTTATGCAATGTAGTCTGCTTCGCTTGCCGCGTGAGCGTTTGATGTGTGGATGCAACAACTGAGTACAAGGAAAAGGAAGCATGTACTCCATTGTAGCATAAAAAAAGTTTAAGCAGGCTTTTAAGTTAATCAAATCATGTTAATCATCTCTAAAAGCTTTTTCATTGTAGATTGAGTTCTCTTAGAAGCCATTCTCTCTCCTTATACATCTTTTTTAGTAAAGAGCCTATACACTGAAAAAAATACTCTAAGGACGTCTCAAAAAATTAAGCTAGCAAGTTAACATATATTTTACCTCGTCAACTTAAGGGTAGCACAAGATACAAACCCCTCAATGATTTATTAGCTCTTATCCCTCACTCTGAGCCCCTGTTTTTTCCACCTACCATTAGCCTCTTCTTCCCACAGATGCCATGTCTCAATCTCCTCCCGCTGCTCATCTCGCTCGTCCCGTGCCACTGCTAGTCTTCCACCACCATCGAAGAGCGCCTCCTCCACTTTCGCTTGCCCCGCACCACTTTCCAAAGTGTGCCGCCACCGCTCGCCCGTGCTAGGCCACTAGTACCCTCTCGCTTGGCTAGCGCGTGCTTTGATTTTGACGGTGCGAGCTCGACCTACTTCTCAAGTTGTTCTCCTTTTGACAGCGGTGGCTCCCAACTCTCCGAGCACGTCTTGCGAAGTGGTAGGGGTAAGTAGACGGCCTTCATCCTTCTTCAAGTCATCCATGCGAGAGCGAGAGGTAGTAGAAGCACAACGACGTTCTTCATTCTAAAGAGAGGAGTTGAAGGCAGGCCATATGCTGCCCTAAATTGGGACATATGATTAAGTTCGTATCTTGTTCCGTCGCTAATATAGAGGATAACATCACTATTGATATCATCGAAGCTGCCCTAGCCATACTACCGTTAACTTCAAGAAACGGGACAGGCCACAAACTTTGTTGGCTCTTTAGTCCTATATCATACACTCAGTTTGTGTTTTACTACTAACTTTAATGTGTATACATGCAGAGAATAGTGATAGCGCTCTTTAGTCCTATATCATACACTCAGTTTGTGTTTTACTACTAACTTTAATGTGTATACATGTAGAGAATAGTGATAACCGATAGCAATAGGTACGCGTGAGTCACGTGCGGAGGCGGAACCAGGGGCTAGCGGGGGCCGCGCCCCCCTCCCCAAGCACGGTAGATTTAATTAATATCTATATAAATATTTAAATTTATAGCACAAAAAATCAATTTCACCTATTTTTATGAAACTATTATGATTTTAGTTATAGATAGTGTTTTTTTAGAAAAGTTGTTGAAACATATAATTATGTATATTTTATCATACTAAAAAATACGATCACATTTGTTCGGCCTCCCCCTTGATAAAAATCGCTGTGATCACATTAGTTATAGATCCTGTGATTTCTCCCTGCGCCTGTACAAAAACCACGAGGCCGCTCCGCCGCTGCAACGACGACCGCTGCTCTTCGACGACGGCGAGATCTCTGGTGAAGCCAGGACGACGTGCGGCCTCGTCCCCGTCCTCTCCGGCGAGCCCCCCTCTCCTCCGCGGCCCTCTCTCTGCTGCAGACCCCCCCTGCGCCCCTCGCATCTCCTCTGTCGGTGAGCTCCACGGACGCGACGGCGCAGCAGACCTGCGCGCGCCACCGGCTTCGTGTCCCCCCTCACCGTCTCTTTCCCCTCCCTCGGCCCGACGCTGCTCGAGTCTAGTAGTGCGTGCGGCTCTCCTTCCCCTGTGCGTATTGGGATAGCTCAGATGGTGAAAGATTGAGGACGACAGGTGGGTCCCAATAGTCATTATCTATTGTAAGAATTTGGGGGTTTTAATTTAGGCCCCGTTCGCTTTGCTGAAAAAATAAACTGAAATACTGTTTCGACTGATTTATTGTGAGAAAAAAATATTGTTCCGGTTGAAAAAACAAGCTATAAAATACAGATTATAAGACAAATGAAGAGAGTCCTAGAGACTTCTGCTGGAGCAAATGTAATTCAGAACGGGGGGTTCTGAGTTGCTCGAAGAGAGAGAGGAGTAGCATTCGCGTGGTCGAGTACTCGAGTCCGTGTCCGTCCTCCTCCGCTGGCTCTGGCTTGGCTGGCTGAGATGCTGAGTAGTCCCCACCGTACCCCTCCCCCCTCCCTCCCTGGGAGGCTCCCTCTTTCGTTTCATTCCACAGTCCACACCACAGTCCACACAAGCAAGCAAACAGGCAAGGAGAGGGAGGCTGCTGCTCCAACCCAACCCAATCCAATCCAGTGAGAGAGAGAGAGAGAGAGAGAGAGAGCGATCAAGGAGGAGGATGCCGAGGAGCCCGCAGCTGAGCCTGAGCGGCTGCAGCTCGCTCTTCTCCCTGTCCAGCACCAGCACGAGCCGCGACAACGACGACAGCGCCGCCGCCCTAACGGCGCCGGTGCCAGCGCCACCGGCCGGCGCGTCTCTCCATCCGTTGCCCCCACGGCGCCTCCCTCTTCTGTCGCTCAGCGTCGGCGGCGGCGGCGGCGGCGAGGAGGAGGACGAGGACGAAGAGGAGTACCTGCTGGGGACCGGCGCCCTGGATCTGCAGCTGACGGGGGCCGGCGGCGGCAGCAACAGCAGCGGCGGCGGCTGCGACGAAGAGCGGAAGAACATCCGGATGATGAAGAACAGGGAGTCTGCGCTGCGCTCCAGGGCAAGGAAGAGGGTACCAACGCTTCCATTCCATTTCCATGTGCTTTTTGTCTTGATTACAGTATATATATTGTTGGATTATTGTACTGTATAGGAGTATTATGCTTCAGTTTCTTCATTGAATTTTCTTTCTTTGTTTACTTTGATTGACTGGATGGACTGGGCTGATGATTATCGGATTGGATTGGATACGTACTACTACAGGCCTATGTGCAGGAGCTGGAGAAGGAGGTTCGTCGCCTGGTGAATGAGAATCTCAAGCTCAAGAGGCAGTGCAAACAAGTACGTAGTAGGACTACTTTCTTTTCTTTCTTCATTCCTTCCCTTTCTTTATTCAATCATGTCATCTAGCACATACAGTTAACATTGTCTCTTCTTCTTCTTCTTCTTCTTCTAAATAAATAAACAAATGTATGCATGTTAATTATGTGGGTATTATATATAATATGATGCAGCTGAAAGTGGATATGGCTGCACTGATCCAGCAAAGCAGCAGCAAGAGCAGCTCCCACATCAGAAGAACCTCCTCATCCACTCAGCTCTAGCTCAGCCCTCAGCACTGCATACCCTGCGATGGTTTCTTATTCAGTCTATGGTCGCGGTCCTTGCATTGGGTCATGCATGCCAATGGCAGATAGATCAAGATGTTGTACCACAACCAAATTACAATTCTACTACTAGTATATATGGTAGTATTATGTATGTATTTTCTACACTAGTAGTACCAATGCAAGGATCATAATTCGTAAGCAAACCTTTGACCTCCGACGATCCTGCTGCTAATGCATGCGCTCTGCAACTCCTAGTAGTACTATATATAGCTTGCTATTCCTAGTAATAGAATAGGAGGAGGAAGATCCAGCAGTGCTCACGCCTACTGTTACTGTATCAACAAGTGAAGGAATCAATCCATTGATGATGAGGAGGACGAAGAAGGCTGCTCCTCTGATATATACATGACCATGAATGTGCTTGCCTTGCCTGCCTGCTTCGGTTGGATTTGATTGGCTAGCTGATTCTCTCTAATTAATACAGTATGGTATGGTGTATCTTTGCTCGATCTGTTGTTGGCTTCTTGCTTCCATTTCCATGTAGTTGGACTGTTGGAGTGTATATGTATGTAGTTTGTGCTGCGTGAGATTGCATTGGACTTGGACCATTCTTTGGGGAGTAATTTTGTTCCATGGATTGGCAGAGTCGGAGTGGTGCAGGTGCTCCGCTTCACCCATGGGCCGGGCCACGGCGTCCACTCCCGCTTCCACTCTGGGCCCTAAAACCGCTTCCAATCTGTCTGACTTTTGGGATACGTGGAACGAAAGGGAAAAAAAACATCATTCTACCTCCGTGAACTATTGCTGTAGTATCGCGAATGGGCCCCTGGTCGAGTGGCAGGGCTGTCCTGTAGACGCTAACCATCAGGGTTTTGGTGATCGCACCTTTTCTTTTAAATTAAATTAAACTATTACTGTAGTATTGAAATCTATCTCCATTTTTTTAATTTTTAAAACCGTGGAGACATTTTGTATGGTTTAAAAACCTTTATCAGGTATTTACCAATTTTGTTTTATTAACTAAAAAAGAAAACCATATTCAAAACCACTCGAAACCATGACAGGAAGGTAGTTTGAACGATTTCAAGAGTTCAGAGAGTCAGCTATCTGGTTTTGAAGTTCATGGTGGAAAATCATACTACATCGACAGTTCGGGAGGTAGAATAGACTTTTTCCATAAGGAAATTGCAGTGGCAATACCACAACACCAATGATACTACATTCCATCTTTGCAGGCTCCATGCCAGGATGAGTGAGCAACCAAAAAAAAGGACGAAATGCTATTTTGTTCAATTTACGACGGGTCAACGAGTCCACCACTGATATACGTACTTCTTGCAAGGACGTGTCGAACCAGATGGACCTGTATTTTTTACTTAACTGCCCACAGTTTTAGATGTTGTTTGGTTCAGCCATTAGAACATGAATACCAATGTAATCAGGTAGTAGTGTTGAGATTTGTTGCGGGTGAAGAGAAAACAAAGTTTGTTTGGTTAGCTTGTGTAATCAGGTTGCCCAAGAGGAAGTAGGGAATGACCGATGAGTGGCGGCGGCAGAGACACTAGAGCACATGAGGAAATCGCGCGCGAGGACTTGCATGGGAGGTGTGAACTTGCTGAGACACCGAAGCCCACGAGGGGGGGATCAATCGAACGTTTGGGAGGGTATCGTCATTCTATAGTGCCGTATTCGATGCCGCTGTTAACAGATACAAACTGGAATAATCAAACACAAAACAACACTATCAGTTTGCACCTCTAACCAATGACAGGCAAAAAAAGGCCAAACCAAACAGCACCTTATTGTTTTTCACCCATACTAAAGCGGCACATGCACATCATACCAACAGACCAAGAAAGGACTAGATTTAAGAAAAATACCAATGTAAAGTGACCATCCATACACCTAACACCTTTCAAATGTAATGCGAGTAATACAACAATTTTTCTCATATGGGAGCAAATTAGGGGTGGAGTGTGAATAATAGAATAATTGCACCCTTTGGTACTTTAATGGATATGGATCGTGAAACATTTACTCCTGAGGACATGATGAACAACTATACAAGAACAGAGGCAGTAGTGGATGCATTACTCTGTTTCGACCCATGTGAACCAATATTTTATCGCCAGAGATCCACCACGACATTGCTTAGGCCAGTGCCGGCCGGGAACTGTTCCTCGTAGAGGCTAGAACATCTCTAGTAGTCCCATAATACCACTCATCATCTCCATAAAACTGACATATTAGGAGAGATGAGTCTTTTCCCTTACTCCAGCAGTCCCTAGCTCAGTAGCTCTCCTGTTTTTGGCTACCATCAATATTTGTCTCATCTCCACTCAAATACAAAGGGGAGTTGCATCCCTTCCAATAGGATAGGGCCCATCCAATAGTCACTTCTCCCCATCGTGCACCATGGTCGCGTCTTGGTGTGTCCCCTATGGCTGCTCTGTTCATCACCGCTACGATGGCTACTCTGTTCACCGCCGCCATGATGGTTGCCATTAGATGCCTATAAGCCTATCCTTGAGCCATCATGGATCCAACCTTGGTTGTTATCGTTGGATACCTGTGAACCCACCAAATCGAGGATGCCTAAGTTGGGTACTTAGTGGGGGATAGAGAAGACATAGAAAGAGAAGGGGAGGAAGGCATCCATGGCCATCGTGGATCTGACCTTGGTCGTCGTTGTATGCCTAAGTTGGGCACATAGTGGGGATAGAGAAGACAGAGAAGGGAAAGGGAGGGAAGGCAGACAACCATAGCCATCGTGGATCCGACTGGCCATGTCGATTTGAGGACCAGGACGCCATGACCTCATCTATTTGAGTGCTGCCATCAACCACTTGATATAGTTTGAAGCTTAGCTCGGATCTTCACAGGAAAGGGAGAGGGTATAGGCCGAGGTGGTGGGTAGGGCAAGGCTGGGGTGCCAGTGGTGTGGGTCTGAGTGGAGGGCATGGCCGACAGGGAGAGGCAGTAGATGGCACCCGACGAAGAAGAAAGAGAGTCTGGTGGAGAAGAAGATAGTATCCTCCTTTGCCGAGGGTGGACCATTTGTTGTTGGTGCCCCCCGTCCATGCCATCCACTCGAAGACGGGGCAATGCGCATGTAGATAGAGGGGGCCTAGGAGTGAGGGCAATCATGCTCTCCATCAGTGACCCACTTTGTTGACACACCATGTGAAAAAATAGAGGAGCCACTACTATAGGATTGATTTTGCGTGGCGTTGTACTTTAATTAACGAAGACGGTCACAAAATCCAACCGTCTCGTAGAATATTGGATGATTAACGGAGGCGGACATTTTTATTTACGGAGGCGGTCACTTTTGCCCGCCTCGTAAAATTGATTTACAGAGGTGGGCATTTTAAGACAACCTCCTCCGAAAATAGTCTATTTTCGGAGGTGGTCATTGTCGCGGGGTCGAAACCACAGCAAGCATAGTTGTTTGAGTTGGTGTCAGAGTACGGGTGTCTGGTGGCTCGGGTGGACTCAAGAACACAAGAATCATGCAGAGAAGACGCAACGGTTTATCTTGGTTCAGGCCAATTCGGTCCCTACGTCCAGCAGCTGATGATCCTTATACTCAAGAGCACCCAAAATCGGAGAGGGTTACAACAGAGTGTAGAGAGAGATTTGGTAGGGGGTTAGTTCGGTGCTAATTCTAAGGTTGCCTCACTGCCGGTGGAGCCTTTCCCCTCGTCGGAGAGGAGGAAGACGATGGGATGCGGTGGAGGAAATCTCGGTGCCCCTCTCTGGGTTGCCTTGCTCCCTGTGTAGAGCGGAGGCGGATGGAATGGAATGGAGTATCTGGTGATTGATCTGGGATCCTCCCACCTCCTAGGTCTGACCTTATCCCTTATATAACGAGATAAGTCGGGTACATGGCAGTTTGGGGGAACTAGTCTACGGTCTACGTGCACCGGAGTCCAGGTGGGTCTTGCAGCAGTGCGCCATGGACCGTGGCGGTGTCTTGGAGCCGAAGAAGCCTTGGGCGTCGTTCGACTGCTCTGTTCTGACACTCTATGTGTCAGGCTGTGTTGGCTTGGTCCGGCCTCCCCTAGGTGGACCTTCTGGAGTCTTCTTGGTGGCGAAGGAGGTCGGCTCCAGGGACTGACACACGGGCCCGAAAGCCCCTGAGCCCCTAGAGGCTGAGGGAAAGCTTTGTCTTCTTGTGTCACTCCCCGGACGTGACCCTATCGGGGGAATAGTTGGCAGGGCCACACTTAGGGAGCGGCGCCAAGGAGCCCCCGAGCATCGGTAGCCCCGAGCTTGTCTTCTTGCGCCCGGGCCTTGGCTGGAGTCTGAAAGGATCAAGATGCCCAAGAAGGGGGATGAATTGGGCTAATTCTAAATTTCTTTGCAATAATTAAACTCTATGGTTAGCCCAATTAACCCCTTATGCCTAGAAAGTGTTTCTATTGATCTAACGCACAAAAGTTTAGCAACCTAAGTTCCAATCCTACTCTAGCATGGCAATTCTAGGAATGTAAATGGCAAGAATTAAATTGCTCAAAGTAAATGCTCAAAGTAAAGAGAGAAGGAGGAACGCGGCGATGTTTTGCCGAGGTATCGAAGAGTCGCCACTCCCCACTAGTCCTTGTTGGAGCACCCACGCAAGGCTGTAGCTCCCCCTTGATCCGCGCAAGGATCAAGTGCTCTCTATGGGTTGATTCTTCGACACTCTGTCACGATGAATTACCCACAACCGCTCACAACTTGAGTTGGGTCATCCACAAGCTCCGCCAGATGACCACCAAGCTCCCAATCACCACCAAGCCGTCTAGGTGATGGCAATCACCAAGAGTAACAAGCACGGACTCTCATTTGACCACGACAAGCCTAATGAGAAGGGTGGATGCACACTTTGTTACTCTTGATCTCACTAATGAGGGCTCTCTTTGGGATTCTCAAATCTCAATCACCTCACTAGGACCTTGCCCTTCTTGGCACTCTCAAAGGTGTTTCTCAGTTGTTGGAATGAGCAAAAG